TTGGAGGTCATGTGATTAGGTAGGCGTGGCTAGCTGGTCCGTCATTTCTGGAAGGTCCTCGCACTTACGACCAGTCCTCGCACTTACGACCTGACTAATTTGTTTGCTTTTAACACTGATCAGCTGTAGGACGGCCCTTTGAAGCCCTGCTGGCAAGAGTTTAAACAGTTTTTTTCCCTCTAGTCATCAGCTGGGACTCAGGAGGCAGCAATAGATTGGGGGTGGGACCAAATAAAAGGTAAGAATAACGTGGGGGTGTGGGGTGTGGGAGGGCGGGGGGGGAGAACCGGTTCGGTGACGTCATATTGTCACCGCTACCGGCTCGGCCGAACCGGACCGAACCGAGAGGAACCCACCACTGATTCTGCTGGTAAATTAGACCTACAGGTTCTTGTTATTGCAGCTGTCTGAGAATACATCTTCTAGGACCTCTTTGTGCATAAAATGGACAGTAACGGGGACGAGCCACACCTTAAATGTTCATACAGGTCTCGTGTTGACATATAACACGTAAGCCTTGCCAACCTAGGAGTTAGGAACATGAATTGGGATTGTGCACAACATCCTATATAGAAGTTGGCTTGATTCCAGACCTTATATCTGATTCCTGAGATGCTCTACCTCATTTCAGCAGGGATAATGGTGCTATTAAATGAGCACCTATCTCCTTACTTCTGAAAAATGTGTTCTGAATGACAATATTGTAGCTAAGCAGGCATCCTTTCACTCTTGGGGTGTTCTAGGATATGAAGTGCAGATTTTGGTATATTGCATTTATGATTCGGTGGCTCACTATGAGTTATTTCTGGTCTCACTCCATGCATCAGGGCATCAAAAATCCATATAGAAGACAGTTACAAATTATTACTTACCATATTTTTTGGAGTATCAGACACACCTTTTTCCTCCCCTAAAAGGGAATGAAAATTTGGGTGCGTCTTATACACCAAATGTAGCCCCGCCCACCCACTGTTTCCCACCCTTTGGCCTCTGCCTCCCAGCAATTTACCTCCTTGCAGCAAGCAGCAAGAAGAAACAGCCCATTTCAGCTTCAGCGCAGCCTAATTAGCACGAGTTGATTGTCCCTCCCGACTCTCAGCTGTTTCAGGCTGCAGGGATTGCCATTGCCTATTGCTGCACAGGCCTCTGCTGCTTGCTGCAGGGAGGTAAATTTCTGGGAGCAGATTTTTTTTTTCTTGTGCTAATCAAGCTATGCTGAAAACGAAAATGAAAGTAAAGCAGGCTATTTGTTGTTTCCTGCAACGAGGCAAAATTACTGGCAGATTTCTTTTTCTTGTTTTCCTCACCAAAAAAGGTAGGTGCGTCTTATAGTCCGGAGCGTTTTATACTCCGAAAAATACGGTAGTGCCTCATCAGAACTCAGAAATATTGCCACCTTGTACCTGCAGGAAGGAAATACTCAAAATTCTTGATGAAGTCATCCATGTTTCTGCCTACATCAGTGAAGTGACATTATATAAACCTCTAAACCATGGATATCAAACTTGCTGCATCATGTTGCTGTCATGTGACATATCGCCATGTTTTTTCGCGGAGCTGGGTTGGGCGTGGCCTGCGCATGACGAATCCGGCCCACAGGTCGTCAGTTTGATACCCCGGCTCTAAACAGTACAAGCATTAAGAAGTTGGTGCAGCTTGCACGGTTCTACCCTCATAGGAAGTCTGGCTCTTACTGTATTTATTTTTTATTTATTTATACCCTGTCTTTATTATTTTTACAAATAACTATCAATATGCCTTCTTCCCAGGGGTGAAATTTAAAATGTGTTACTACTGGTTCTGTGGGCGTGGCTTGGTGGTGGTGGTGGGGGAGGGGTAATGTGACTGGGTGGGCGTGGCGAACTTTTTTTTTTTTTTAAACTTTTCAAAGCATTTTTTCTAATTCTTTGAAAAGCCTCTGCCAATCAGGCAACTCAGCTGGGATCGTCAGAGACTTTTCAAAGCATTTTTTTTTACCACCTCTTCAGCCAAGAGGTTTTTTTTATTTTTTTTATTTTTTTTTTATTTTTATTTTTTAATTTGATTTATATGCCGCCCTTCTCCAAAGACTCAGGGCGGCTTACAATGTGCTCAGCAATAGGTTGCAGGAAAAAAAATGCTTTGAAAAGCCTCTGACGATCCCAGCTGAGCCGCACGATCATCAGAAGCTTTTTTTTTTTTTACTTTTAAAAGCATTTTTTCGTCGGAAGAGGTTGTAGAAAAAATGCTTTTAAAAATAATAATAATAAAAAAGCCTCTGATGATCGTGCGGCTCAGCTGGGCATGGTGGGGGGGGGGGCAGGGATTTTTGCTACTGGTTCTCCGAACCACCCGCCACCATCACTACCGGATCTGGCAATCCGGTCTGACCCGGGAGCATTTCACCCCTGCTTCTTCCTCATATTTTCTCCATAACAACATCTTGAACTAGTGAAAAATTTAGAAACTTTGGAAGAATCTCAGCAGTAATTATAGAAAAATAGTAGTAGTAGTTACCAAATTTTCATAAAGACATAAGTTGATTACGGTATGTACTAAAGAAATAATCATAAATATAAATATTCATATTTATACTTATAATACAGTTCATTTAGTGACTGTACAAAGTTACAGCGGCACTGAAAAAAATGTGACTTATGACCATTTTTCACAGTTACGACCTCTGCAGCATCCCGATGGTCATGTGATCAAAATTCAGATGCTTGGCAACTGGTTTGTATTTATGACCGTTGCTGTAACCCAAGGTCATGCGATCACCCTTTGCGACCTTCTCACAAGCAAAGTCAATGGGGAAGCCAGATTCACTTAACAACCATGTTACTAACTTAACAACTGGAAGGGAGTCACTTAGCAACTGTGGCAAGCAAGGTCGCCAAATCGGGCAAAACTCGTTTAATAGTTGTCTTGCTTAGCCACAGAACTTTGGAGTCAATTGTGGTCGTAAGTTGAGGATTACATGTACAAGTGAGAACTGGGGGGGGCACTTAAAGTTTTCCAGGGGTAGCCAGTGCTTAACACAATGGTCTTTTCTTGATAGCCTCGGTGTGTCTATAACCCATAAATCATTCCTTAAGACAGATCTTTTTCTTAAGGCATTTGAAGTTTAATGTTACATTGCCCAATTGATCACTTTGTCATGTTGGTTGTTTTTTAAATCAATTTTATTGCTTAACCCTGTTCCTCGAAGGGCCGTTCTAAATTTATTTTAAGATGAAAACCTGCGAGAGTCATTCCAGATTCTAAAACAGACGGAATAAATACATTTCTTTGCAACATAAAAGTACCCACTATTTCCATTATCTTTCCTGCTCATTTCTAGAAAATATAAGCACTTAGAAAATACTTAGAAATAATGCAGGCAATTTATCTGCAGATAAATTGACTAAAAAATTAAAAGATAAAGATCAAACACAAACATGTTTATCCTGGGAAAAATTATATACTTGGCTAGCAAAGAGAAAATCATAACCCAATTGAAAAGAGGAAAGGTATTTATTGAGAAATTTATATTACACTAATAAAGTGAGATCGGATAGACCTAATTGATGTATAAAGAGATATAAGTTGTTCTGTCTCCCTCGGAACATAATGTACTTGCAGATATGTTCGTTATTTGTTATGTTGTCTTGTATGCTATTTATATGGTGTGTTGTTATTTTCTGTTTTTTTTAATGAAAAATGTAAATAAAGACTATTTTTTTAAAAAAGAAAGAAATAATGCAAGCACTTGGGAAAAAAAAACAATGAAACTTCAAAACAATAACAAGAAATAAATCAGGCAGAAGATAATACTCTAATCCAGGAACCACCAAGGAGGAAACTGCACCCTTACCAAATTGGCAGTATAAGCTACTTGCAGCTAACCTCACCATTGATAATGTAACCTAGTTGGATAATAAAATGCCTGCAGGCAAACAACTAAGCTCAGCATCAAGAACTCCACAGCTAGGGATATTTCTATTGAAATAAATAATTGCATTTGAAAGACAGTCAGTGTGTTTCCATAAATGAACAAAAATTGATGAGTTGCCGTGGCACAGTGGTTAGACTGCAGTACTGCAGACTACTTCCGCTGACTGTCGGCTGACTGCAATTTGGCAGTTCAAATCTCACCAGGCTCAAGGTTGACTCAGCCTTCCATCATTCCGAGGAGGGTAAAATGAGGACCCAGATTGTTGGGGGCAAGAGACTGACTCTGTAAACTGCTTACTGTTTGTAAGTCTGTAAAGCGGTATATAAGTCTAAATGCTATCGCTATTGCTATTTAAATTACCCATTTCCATTACCCATTTCTCTGAACCTGCCCATTGAACACCTATGCCCACTAGCTGGAATAGATATCCAATATATGTACAGCAATATTTTTGTTAAATTACCTATAATTTTAAATCTATAGAAATTATTGGAATTGTTAAAATGATCTTTCATTAAAAATTATTATTCTATGCCTCGTTATATAATCTATTATAATCATCATCTCGCATAGAATGCTTGAACAGACTTGTATAAACAGGTATTACATTTTATAAAACAATATTGATCAGATATTGCTAGAGGAGATGAAGTACTTAAAGCTGTTGGCCCATAACTGGGCCTCAGGGTCTTTTACTCTTTTTTATTTTAGCCCTGAAGGGGAAGCAGTTAAGATATGGTTCCAATTCCTTCCTTGCAAAATATAGCATGGTCAGCAACACAAATAAAAATGTTGAGCAGGCAACTGTATTTTTAATGTGGGCCAGTGTGCTCACAGTAAAAAAAAAAAATTACAATAAAGTTATCTCATCTTTAAAATGTTGAAAGCTTACAAGATAAGCTAACCAATTTTTTTTTCCCGAAGCCAAACCCAGACAGTTTGTGAGACAGCACAGAGATTCCCTGAAAAATGATCAGATAGATGATTTTATTTGTTTGTTTGTATCCCGCCTTCGTTATTTTTTACAAATCGGACCCAAAACCTCAGTAGAGAGCTGTAAACTGCATTGCTTTGTGCTTCTTTTCAGTAAATGAGTTCACAGTCATCAGGAAGAAGTTCAAGTGTCCCTACTGCAGCTTCTCAGCCATGCACCAATGCATCTTGAAAAGGCATATGCGATCCCACACAGGAGAACGACCCTACCCGTGTGAAATTTGCGGGAAGAAATTCACCCGGCGAGAACACATGAAGCGGCACACCTTGGTAAGTTGGGACCTCTAGGGACGTTTCCAGAGGCAAAGAGGGATAGAAACTTGAGATCTGTGTGAGAGGATGTGGGTGAGCATAGAGATGATTGACTAGGGTGCCCATGGGTTTTGCATCCTTCTTTCTATTTATTGGGCAGAATTTTTTGCCAACATCGCATGTAATGATGGATTTAAAAATTCATAACAGAACTATGAAAATATTAAATACACTCGAAACCAGAATATGGTTTTAATTTTATTTATTTGTACCATGCTGTTGTGGCTCCATTACCTGAGCCTGTGTCATCGGCAGGAGAGGACTCCGAGACTGAAGGAGAGGAGTTGGCAAGGCCTCCCTCTCCAGGACCCTCCTCTCTGGCAATGCCTTCGGTGTCCGCCGAAGGGCAAGAGATAGGGCCAGGGCCAAGCACGTCCACGCAGCCACAGATGGACAGTGATGAGGGTAATGAGTCTCGGCTGGATCCACGCCAGCGTCGCAGAGATAAGTTCGCGCAACAGAAGAAAAGGCGTGCCCGAGATTAGGCTGAGTCACTGGACCACACCCCACAGGATATAAAAGGGAGCGTGGTGGCCAGTCAAACCTTGTGATGAACAAAGCTGAAAGCTTCCACGCCATTCTGCATTGCCGGACTTTTGCTATAGACTTTGCTGGGTTATCTCTGGACTTGATTAACTCCGTAATTATTGAGCTGTTTCTTTTGATGTATCAGAAGTGGGGAGAAGTTTTCTCTCCTCTTTGTAAATAATAAACTCTTGGCAGGCAGCCACTAGGTTGTTGCCAAGTTCCGTTATCTTAAGGAAAAGGATTTTGCCGGCTGGTTTGGTCTTTAACTCTTGAACGTCTGTTGGTGTGTGTGCGTGTGGTTGGGGACAGAACACCTGCTTTCATTATATTTTTTATAAATAACTCAAGGTGGCAAACACACACAGTATTTTTTTTCTCCTCATAAGGCGGGACTAATACTCACAGTCTCCTGTGATTGGTGCAAAGTCACCCAGCTGGCTTTTGTTCCTAAGGTGGGACTAGAACTCTCAGTCTCCTGGCTTCTTGCCTGCTGCCTTAACCAGTAGCCCAAATTAAAGAGTAAAATAAAATTAACAACGCATGTTTGATATGAAGAGAATCTACATATTGACTTTGAGAAGCAGGTTTTTAAAATCCATTCCTGGTGTGTGTATTGCAGAGTTCTTTCTTATTTGCCACTTAGCCTAGCAAACTGACAAATAGTTTGTTTTGTTGTTGGATATCAATAGGTTTATAAAGTAGAGCAATATTTTTTGCCAAATTATGTTATCAGTATTTAGTAAGATATATGTGTTGGTAGAGAATATTGCTTTGGGGATAAGTAATGCTCCAAAGATTACTTAAGTAGCTAAATGCTACTTAGCATATAAATGTTACTCTATACTACAAGAGCACTTTTCTATTTTAATGATAATCATGTTGACATTTACTTTTCATAGCATTACATATGACTTTTTCTGAATTCTTTTTCTTGAGTGAGCTAAAACGACATACCTGCGGTCACTTTCAGAAATGAATTGTAAATGAAAATAAATGGAGCCTATAGTACAGTGGACTAAAGCACTGTTATTAACATCTGCGTGCAATTACTGCAAGTTCAAATCTCACCAGGGTCAAGGTCGACTCAGCCTTCCATCCTTTCAAAGATAGGTAAAATGAGGACCCAGATTGTGGGGGCAATAAGCTGATTTTGTATAAATATACAAAAGTATGAAGGCTATTGCTTAACACATTGTAAGCCGCCCTGAGTCTCCGGAGAAGGGCGGCATATAAATCAAATTAAAAAAATTAAAAAAAATAAACGGGAAACTTATTGCAGGAAGACAAATTAAGCGATCTGCCTGTTAATCTGGTGATAAGATATTGTACTACAGGTAGTCTTTGATTTACGGCCACAATTAAGCTCAAAATATCTTTTTGCTAAGCCCGGTAGCTATTAAGTGCTCCATTTTATGACCTTTTTGGCTACTGCAGAGTGAATCATGCAGTTGTTAAGTGAATTTGGCTTCCCCCATTGACTTTGCTTGCTGGAAGCCAGCTGGGAAGGTTATAGCTGATAATCACTTAACCCAGAGACAGTGTCAGTGGTGGGTTTCAAATTTTTTTACTACCGGTTCTGTGGGTGTGGCTTGGTGGGCGTGGCAGGGGAAGGATACTGTAAAATCTCTATTCCTTCCCCAATCCAGGAGAAGGTTACTGCAAAATCCCCATTTCCTCCCGATCAGCTGGGACTCGGGAGGCAGAGAATAGATGGGGGGCGGGGCCAGTCAGAATTTTTACTACCAGTTCTCCAAACTACTCAAAATTTACGCCACTGATTCTCCAGAACTGATCAGAACCTGCTGAAGCCCACCTATGGACAATACAGCTATCATTAATACGTGTCAATTTCCAAGCACCGGAATTTTGATCCTATGTCCGTGGGCATGCTGCCATGGTCATAAATGTGAAAAGCAGTTATAAGTCACTTTTTTCAGTGCCTATGTAAGCCAGTTCCTACACTATTTTAACCGTAGCTTTCTTCTAGAAAATAAGTCTTTTAAAGAGAGGTGTTTCTGGTCCAATTCACACAAACACATTCAAGCAAGACAGTGAAAGCCCTAGCAAGTTTAGTGTTAAATGTTGGTTATAGTTTTTAGTAGCATATCATGTCATGCATATTCAGTCCATTGGAATACTTTAGGAATCAGTGTATTCAGTTTGGAGCAGTGGGTGGGTTGCTACCAGTTTGCCCCGGTTTGAGCAAATCGGCAGCAGCAGCAGCGGGAGGCTCCGCCAGTGGTGGGTTCCTCCCGGTTCGGTCCGGTTCGGCCGAGCTGGTAGCAGTGACGATATGATGTCACCGAACCGGTTCTCCCCCCCCGCCCTCCCACCCCCCCACGTTATTCTTACCTTTAATTTGGTCCCACCCCGAATCTATTGCTGCCTCCTGAGTCCCAGCTGACGACTAGAGGGAAAAAAACTGTTTAAACTCTTGCCGCAGGGCTTCAAAGGGCCGCCCTACAGCTGATCAGTGTTAAAAGCAAACAAATGAGTCGGGTCGTAAGTGCGAGGACTGGTTGTACGTGCGAGGACCTTCCAGAAATGACTCTGACCAGCTAGCCACGCCCACCTAGTCACATGACCTCCAAGCCACACCCACAAAATAAGCCATGCCCACAGAACGCACGCAAGCGAACCCGTAGCAAAAGTAAGTGAAACCCACCCCCGGTTTGGACTTAAAACCAGGTTAAATCATTAACCAGTTAAATGTGCTTTATGAATAGACCAGTGCTTTCCTAATCCATCCCCAAATACTCCTCCAGTAGAAATCTGAGACCTCCTGCCATCCGAATATTTCAAATGCTTCAGATTTTTAAAAGAGAAAAAAAAAAAAGGTGTGCGAAAATTGAATTGAAGTGTGATTTACGGTAGATGGAATCGGTCTTTAAACCATTCCGAAGACTTTTGTAGCAAGATCCAAACATAGGAAGTGCATCCGTGAAAGAAATCCTGTTTCCTCCCAGCTGTTCCCTGGATATCGGGGCAGGATATTTTGCAGACAGCCTGTCTTGCACCCAGTTGCCCTTCTGGAAATGGCTGTCTTCCTTTCCATGGGGAAAAAGTTCAATGCTCAGCTGATACGCCACTGTCTGCTTACCGCAGGTGCAAAGTTGCATCTTGCCTTGCCAAATTGGTGGCATTTTGTAGATGGAAGATGGGCAGCTAGCTTGTATTGCTTCAACAGCAATGTTTAGGGGCCACTGCACTCTGTTGCCATAGTACCCAGAACCTGCTGCCTTCTTCCTTCCTTCTCTCCACGAATCCGTGTCCATTCGGATGACTGCCCCGGCCATCTGGACATGGGACCAATTGCTCCCAAGATGCCCCTTGATTTGCTCCATCAGGGTGGGCTGTGGGTAGCCTGAGATATTAATTCAGCGACAGACACACATGCCTCCAATCTCTTCTTTGTTCGTTCTTGAAACTAAACTCACTGCAGTGGTTGAAATTCAGGTACATTTTGTTAAAAAAAAAATTGGAAAATTGCAAGGCATGTACAAGGGGAACAAGCTTTCATCAGTTGGTAATGAAAAATAAAAACTATCTGCTCAAAGATGAAAAAAAAAAAGGCTTGTATGTTTATGTCCTTTCAAATATATAGGGGTTGTTTTTTGTGGGGCAAATAGGAGCAGAAAGGAGTATTATTTGTTTGTTTGTTTATTTAATCAAGCATGTATTTTATGACAGATACAGGTGTAAACATAATTATAAATACATGAAAAGAGTAAGAGGAAAAAGGAATATTGGGACAGGGACGGTAGGCACGCTGGTGCTCTCATGCACACCCCTTACAGACCTCTTAGGAATGGGGTGAGGTCTACAGGAGACAGTCTTAGGTTAAAGTTTTGGGGGTTTGGGGAAGAAACCACAGAGTCAGGTAGTGCATTCCAGGCATTGATCACTCTGTTGCTGAAGTCTTATTTTCTGCAATCAAGTTTGAAGCGGTTTACCTTGAATTTGCCTCTATTGTGTGCTCTTGTATTGTTTTGGTTGAAGCTGAAGTCGTCATTGGCTGGTAGGACATTGTGGCAGATAATTTTATGTACTACGCTTAGGTCAGATTGAAGAGGGCGAAGTTCTAAATTGTCTAAGCCCAAAATTTCGAATCTGGTAGCATAAGGTATTTTGTTGCGAGCAGAGGAGTGGAGGACTCTTCTCGTGAAATATCTCTGGACTCGTTCGATTGTATTAATGTCCGATATGCAATTATTTATTCATTAAATAAAGGAGAATACTTGTAGCTCAGGTTTGGCATTAGGGGCCCTTGGTGCTCTCACAGCTTGCTTGTTTTCCTGCAGACGTTTCCTTACCCAAACTAGGCAACATCATTAGTGTTAGTGATGTTGTTATTAGCACTGACGATGTTACCTAGTTTGGGTAATGAAACTTCTGCAAGAAAACAAAGCAAGCTCTGAGAGCACCATGATCCCTCAAGGAGTATTTTGCCTGTTCACCGCCTTGACTTACTTATAAGGTAATAAAGTTGCGATAAAACACTATTATATAAAGAATATTTTATATAATTTGTCCTTTGCTATGCTTTTGTGGCTTAGGGCAGATAATAACCAAGGCCTTTGAAGGCAAAATGAAATGCAATAATAAATATTTGTTTATCTGTGGTCACTTTAAAAAATATATACATAAAAGTTTCCCCCATCATTGGTTATATCTTGCAGCAAAACCTCTGAGCAGGGAGAGAATGATTGGCCAGAGTCTGCCTATCGAGATACATGGTTGTGTGGAGGCTTGAAAAGTCTGAAAACCAACGCAATTTAATCTCTGCAGTACTTAAAGGAACATAGCCAGGGTTTGATACAATACAGGTAGTCCTCGACTTACAACCACAGTTGAGCCCAGAATTTATGTCGCTAAGTGAGAAATTTGTTAAGTGAGTTTTGCCCCATTTTACGACTTTTCTTGCCAACTGCAGTGAATCACTGCAGTTGTTCAATTAGTAACACAGTTAGTTGTTAAGCGAATCTGGCTTCCCCATTGACTTTGCTTGTCAGAAGGTCACAAAGCATGATCACATGACCCTGGGACACTGCAACCAGTTGTCAAGCATCCAAATGTAAATCACGTGACCACGGGGATGCTGCAACGGTCGTAAGTGTGGGAAATGGTCGTAAGTCGCTTTGTTCAGCAACGTCGTAACGTCGGTCACTAAATAACAGAATAACAGAGTCTACAACCAATGAACTGTCGTAAGTCGAGGACTGCCTGCATAACCTTCCTTACACCCTGAAGACATTTTTCTCCACTAATTTACCTGCTTTACCTTTTGCCTTCCTCCCCAGGTTCACAGCAAGGACAAAAAATACGTCTGCAAAGTGTGCAGCCGAGTGTTTATGTCCGCCGCCAGCGTGGGCATCAAGCACGGTTCCCGTCGCCACGGCGTGTGCACTGACTGTTCTGGCCACAGCATGGCTGGCCACTTAGAAGCCAGTGGCGGAGACGGGTCCCCGGAGGGATTGTACGGCCCCGAGGGCCCTTACGCTGAGGACCCCGACGACCTCAAGGCGGAAGGAGACGAAGAGGAGGAAGACGACCTGAAATGGAAAGAGGAGATGGAGATTTCGCAAGACGAGGCCATCTTGGAAAACGACAAAGATGGCGCTGACTCTGCCCCAGAGAACCCTGGGGAGACCGACAAGGATTTCGCTTGGATTTCTTAGGGATTTGGGGGGGGTTTCCTACCGGTTTGGGGATCGCAGGGTGGGAAGAGCTGTTATCAGGGAAGCTCCAGTAGCCTGGCCATTGTCCCCGAGTATAGAAACGCATTGTGTGTGAAGACTTCCCCCCCCCCCCCAAAGAACATCTGATAACTTCCCTATCGGATTTTTGCATCAATAAGCATTTTCCCTCGATGCCGTCACTTCCTTCTTTTAAATCCTTCCAACCGTTTTAAAAATAGGAAAAGAAGAAACCCAACCCTCAAATCTTTTCAGTCGGAACCGACCAGGTTATATTGCAGGCAGCATGGAGTTTCCTCTCTCAAATATATATATATATATATTTATTATTTTTCCACAGTCAGACTTAACAGAGAGAGAACATGTGCTTCTCCAACGATAATGATCAAAAATGTTTTAAAATAACTACCCTCCCAGCAGCAGGGGAACGTGGTATCAAGGTTACCGGTGGTAAACAAAACAGTGGGAAGCGTTTGAGATCCCAGCCGGAGAGAACAATAGGCTTTGCCGTTTGCAGCAGCCTTCACTAGACTGTTGTCCTCTTTCCCTGGAGTGGGTTGATCAAAGGATTAATTTAGCCCACTGGCATTTGAATAACCTCAGGTTGCTTCCATTTATAACTTGCTTGCTAATGAGGGCAGAGCGAGATACCCACGCCACAAATATGCCCCCTTGTGGCTAAGCCTCAAAAAAATCCACTTTTCTGTCTTTGGATTGTGTCATTCAGGGACAGAAGCGAGGTTTGAACGGAGCATTGTGGCAGTGTGAGGAACCAAAGAGTTTTCTTGGCCGAAGCTCCGTTAAGAAATAGCTGTGTTGGGTTTGTTACTAAGCCACGCATCAAGTAACTATGTCGGCTGGGCCGATCTTTGCCCTTGCGTCGAGTGGGGAACCTCTCAAGGAATGAGTTGCTAATCAGTCCACAAGACCACATCGATATATCGCAAGCAAGGAAAATTCCACTTGGTTTCCCAGCCTGGATAGCAGATGCCTTTGACCGCCCTAAGGAAAATCTCACATATTCTTCCAAAGGCCTTAGTACCTCTTTATCTGGAGTTTTAGGATCTGCGCATTTGGGGAAGCAGCCTTCGGTATTTAAACAAGATATTTTGTGACCTTTCTCCTCTGTAATGATTGAATAGGATTTCTGGCTGGTTACTGCTACTTTTCTGGGACAGCTTTAAAAGGGTCATTTGGCCAATTCGTTCTTTTATCTTGGCCTCCTGCACTGAAGCAGAAAAAAATGCATCTGAAACCTCTTGTTCTTAGCTGCAGAACCTGTAGATTCATTCCGAATACTGTGAGGCTCAAAACCATTACCTGACCTTAAAAAAAACAACTCTCTGAGTCAGAGAGGTCAAACAGTTAAAGGTGCTGATTCCCTCTCTCTCTCTCTCTCTGTGTGTGTGTGTGTGTGTGTGTGTGTGTGTGTGTGTGTGTGTGTGTTCGGGCAAACCGGTGGCGGCAGTGGGAGGCGTGTTCAGAAGATGCGTGCGCCCACGAGTGAACCGGTAACGGGTTTTTGAAACCCACTATTGGTGTGCATGCATGTGTGTCTAACTAGTAACATAGGGTCTGTGTATTGTCAGATCTGATAACAAAGGTAACATATCGTAATTTCTAAAGAGTAATATATCCTTTCCTTCTCTGGCACTTTTTCTAACTTTTGGAATCTTGAAATGTTTTAATAATGTAACCTAAGGAGTTGGGAACATCCTAGTTTCAAGAGTTTTGTTTCATTTTCTCTATTACTTTTCAATTGTAGCTGCTTCGTAAGTCAATGGAGGAGGGAGAAGTGTACAAGAATGAAAGACACCTGGCATTGTTAATCCTCCAGAAAGAATCACCTTAATGTTTCTAAAAGAGAGAAAGTGAAAGAAAAGCATCATTTCCTAGTTAAAGAACTTCCTATGCAGGTTTGTAGAGGAGCACCCTTGGCTTAACGTACTAAATAAACCCAGTTAGAAAATGAGTGCAGAAGGGGTGCCGAATTGCAGGGGGTTGTACTTACGATTATTATTATTTTTATTTATTAAAGTTGTATGCCGCCCATCGCTCTGCAAATAACTCTGGGCATAAATAACTGTTATAATATTTATAACTCTGTTATAAATAACTGAATAAAACAGTTACAGAATTATAACATTAAAACATCAAACGCTGAAACATTAAAAGTAACTTTAGATAAAAAGAACCAATCCATAGATGGGATGGAGGTGAGATCTTGTACTGGTTTAGTAGCCACTTCCAAAATAGGATGGCCGTATCGGGAGCCCTAAGTCAGTTGGCAGAGCCAGGTTTTCAGGCTTTAAGGTAGCATTATCCATCCGGTGATCATGACAAGAAAATACACCCGGGCCTTAATGCATCAATGCAGTAATTGTTGGTCTCCTATTTTGGGCTGGCCTTGAAACACACCCTGCTTCAAACGGTGCGTATACTTGTAGTACTTCTATCTAATCCAACTGGAGATCATGGAACGATAGAAAATAATGGATTATTAAGAGCAGGGGTGGGTTCTAAATTTTTTTACTACCGGTTCTGTGGGCGTGGCTTATTTTGTGGGTGTGGCTTGGAGGTCATGTGACTAGGTGGGCATGGCTAGCTGGTCAGAGTCATTTCTGGAAGGTCCTCGTGCTTACGACCAGTCCTCACACTTACGACCCGACTCATTTGTTTGCTTTTAACACTGATCAGCTGTAGGGCGGCCCTTTGAAGCCCCGCGGCAAGAGTTTAAACAGTTTTTTTCCCTCTAGTCATCAGCTGGGACTCAGGAGGCAGCAATAGATTGGGGGTGGGGCCAAATAAAAGGTAAAAATAACGTGGGGGGGGAGGGCGTGGGGGGGGAAGAACCGGTTCGGTGACGTCATATCGTCACCGCTACCGGCTCGGCCAAACCGGACCGAGAGGAACCCACCACTGATTAAGAGCAATAAAATTGTCCGCTTGTGCTTCTATAGGCTGCCCCAAAGACTGAATGGGCTCCATGCCAGGCATCCTGCAACTTAATTTGTAAGGCGGATTGTTTGTATCTCCCCTAAAAGGGCTTCAAATCCAAAGACAGACAATCCGTGGCAGCAGCAGCTGATCGGTGCTAAAAGGCTCCCCATTTAAATTTTGCATTTCTCATTGGGGAGGTCCGAGCAAAAATTACACTCCAGTGTGCACTAAGAAACAGCTTCCTCCAAAGCTGTATATTTTACCTATCTTTGTTTCATTACATAACACAGCTCTGCTGTTTCCTTCTTCCTTTACTGGGGCAGAGCTTGTGCAGCAAAGAGAACCGAGAGGGGAATTCAAGAAACATCCTGTTCTGCCTATGTCTTTTTCCAATCTTATCATCCCCATCATAGTTTTCATATTTCCCACACTCTCCATTCGTTGGAGGGTTGCGGTTTAAGCTATTGTTTTCTTGAAGTCAAAGAATGCATTTATTGCCTATATTGACCCAACGTGCTTAACATAGTTACTGCACCGACTTGTTTTCTGAGTTTACAGAATAATTGAACCATAAACTAACCTAATAGAATTCAGACTACCTGTTAAGACACCAAAACCAAGGTTAAAATTAACCAGGTTTAGCATCGAACCACGAGACAAGCAGCATATAAGTCTGATAAATAAATAAACGTCTGTGGAGATTCTCAGTCATTCAGGTCATAGTTGTCTCAAAAGTGCTTTTTCAAAAGGCAGCTGGCCTGTTTTTTCCTTAAAGAAGATGTTTCACTTCTAATCTAAGAAGCTTCATCGGATCGTCAATTTTAAGATAATTAAATAAAGGTATAAATGCAGATGTTAAGTCTGCCTCTGTCCTGGTTAAGCAGATTGGAGAAAATAACAGCTTTTGCATGAATGTGGGATGCTCAGTGACTGGAACAGATGATGGACTTCTTTGAAGTTGTCAAACCGCGTGTTCAGTTAACCGTGGAAAAAACGTCTAACCAAATATTATCATTTTCAAATGAAAGAAGGGCGGATGGGAAGGGAAGGAGTAGTTTTTAACAGATCTTCGCGACTTCTTGCATTTTATATTGTATTTTAACCGGAGAGCAATATTTTAAGCTTAGGTTTTTGTATACTTTTTTAAAAGGTTTGGAAAAATCAGCAAATACACCCGCCTCACTGAATGCGAAACACAAGCCTTTTCTTCAGTTTCTTGACTGTCTTTGCCTTAGCAACTTTCTCATTTATCGATGATGCTTCCAAAAGCATTCTTGAGATTCAGTTTCCTCTTGGTTCCATCTCAATGGGCATCTTTTTATAAAAATCAACAACGACAGCTGGGTTCAAATTCAGATATTTAGGGGGGGAACAATTTTCAGGGTTTGGAGACATTCCATTTCCCTCCTATCCGGACCTGAGAATTGGATTTCCCACTCTTCTGCCTTACTCAAGTAGGTTTTATTTCCAATTACGTATATGAAGTGCAATCCTGTACAAAAAGAGGGATGTGGGAGGACACCTAATTTCTCCTGGATCTTTCCTTGTGCCTTCTCCTCCCTCTGTCCTTGTAAGTGTGGTCAAAATTGGTTCCCAGTTGGTCTAATCTGCAATCCTAGCATATAACTGAAGCAAAAGATTTGAATACAATCCACCTAACCCTGGTCTCTCTAAGTCACTGTCTTATTCTCTTTTGCTCTCCTGTTCCATACTGGTTAGGTTTTACTTATATTTTGAAGAGACTATTTTGTGTTTGTTGTTTTCTCTCTTTTCTCTCTCTCTGCTTAAAATAGTGGGCTCTTTGCTTTTGCGGCTGTTTATCAGCAACGCAGAAGAGAAGCAAATACATTAAAGTCTGTAAAGTTATGGCTGAGGTCGTTGCAATGCTCTTGTCTTCGCGTGCCCACAAGGGACACACCTCCAGATTTTTAGGAACCAAATTCGGTGGAAAACGTGATGCTTGGTGTTGAGCCATTGGGCCTGGCTGTGTTTTATATTCCACGAATAGAGAGCTTTTGAGAAAGTGGCTAACATCTTGGGAGTTTCTGAACAAGGAAACCTAACCGTTGTGGGGCATAAGCCATGTTGCACAACTTTTAAGAGTCGTGATGGCGCAGTGGCTAGAATGCAGCACTGCAAGCTCACTCTGCCCACTGCCAGGTGTTCGATCCTGACTGGCTCCAGGTTGACTCAGCCTTCCATCCTTCTGAGGTCGGTAAACTGAAGACCCAGATTGTTGGGAGGGGAAATATGCTGACTCTGTAAACCGCTTAGAGAGGGCTGTGAAATGCCGTGAAGGGGTATATAAGCCTTAAGTGCTATCGCTATTTTGTCCACCTCATGGGATCCTACCTAGGAGAGAGGTGCAGTGGCCTAGAGATGGAGCTCTCACCTCACAATCGGGAGGCTGTGAGTTCGATCCTAGGTAGAGGCAGATATTTCTGTCTCTGGGCACAATGAGAATATATCTGCTGAACAGAACTCCGCATTGGCAACAGGAAAGGCATCCGGCCAGTAAACAGCTCCATTCAGTTGCCCAGACTCCATCCCGCAAGGGATTATGGGGTTGTTAAAAGATGATGATGATGATGATGATGATGATGATGATGGGATTCTACCTAGGAGGCATTGTTATGGGTTGTTCTTTCTGCAGTTACTCTGTGAGCTGCTAGAATAGAGTTCTATCAATCTTGCGCAATCCTAATGCTCAACGGGGCTCTTGCCGACTTGAATGTGATTCTTGCTTTGTTCTGCAAACAAGCCGGGGATGTTTGCTGTTCTAGCAGTTGCCATGATCCGTACAAAAAAAGGGCAAAATGCCAAAGGAAATCAAAAGGCCGGGCTGGCACGTTGCGCTAGACTTAACATGTTGTGTAAATCCAGCCTTGGGAGTTCGTAAATATGGATTTACGGCTGGCTTTTGATTTTGGATGAGGAACGATTAGGCGTGGATTGGGAGGTGTTTCGTTTTTTTTAAAAAAACCTACATTTTGGGTTTTGTGCTTTACCTTTTGGGTGTTCGGCACCTCAAAATGCCAGGAGACCTTGCCCCCAAATTTTCAGCAATTAATAGCCAGCTATGGATAGAGGACCAAATAGAAAAGAGGCTCAGGTGCTGTATGCAGCCTATTTTATGGCCAATTATGGAATATTCCAGAGTTCCCCAACCTTTCCGGCTTTTCGGACCAGTGGGGGGGGACATTAGGGGGGATTCCGTGTGAACGGCAGGTGTCACGCATTTGCCCGCCACTTCCGTGGCCCAGGTCCGAATGGCTCAAAGTCCGGTCGTGGGCCGCAGCCCCTGGAGTTGGGAACCCCTGGATTATTCAATAGTAAACCATGGGACAGAGGGGGAAAAAAATATATCCAGTCTGGGCGATTTGAAGATTTGACGAGAGGCACTGATGGGTGCTATAGTACTTCTGGCTGCCTACCAAGCATTAGAGCTGCATTTGCTCACCATGGCAACTTAAAGAAGTCTGGACTTCAATTCCCAGAATTCCCCAGCCAGCATGGATGGCTGGGGAATTCTGGGAGTTGAAGTCCAACGTCTTAAAGTTGCCAAGATGGGTAAGCATTAGAGGAAGGGTGGATGTTAGAATAGAATAGAGCTGGAAGGGATCTTGGAGGTCATGTAGTCCAGCCCTCTGCTCAAGCAGGAGACCTTATTTCATTTCAGACAAGTGACTGTCCAGTCTCTTCTTTAAAACCTCCAATGATGAAGCACCAACAACGTCTGAAGGCAAACCGTCCCACTGGTTAATTGTCCTCACTGTTAGGAAGTTTCTCCTCAATTCCAGGTTGCTTCTCTCTTACATTAGTTTCCATGCATTGTTTCTTGTCCTTCCCTCTGGTGCTTTGGAGAATAATTTGACCCCCTCTTCTTTGTGGCAGCCCCTCCAATACTGGGATTCTGCTATCATGTCCCACCTGGCCCTTCTTTTCTCTAAACTAGCCAAACTCAAATCCTGCAACCGTTCTTCATAGGTTTTGGACTCCAGGACGTTGCTCTTCTCTGAACTTTTTCCAAAGATGTGACCCACAGGGCTGGCCCTATCATTAGACCAGAGGTCTTCAAACTTGGCAGCTTTAAGACTTGTGGACTTCAACTCCCAGAATTCTCCAGC